ATTAGTTCTATTAGCTCTATTCGGTCATCAGTACTACTAAGCAGTTTAAACTGTGTCTATCTGTAAAATCTGTATGGAATGGTTATCTCAGGCAGTGAGTCTCAGTCGTTAAATATCTGCTCGAATCGTAATGTTGTATTATTACTCTTACACACACACACACACACTTGATAATTTATTGGTCAAAATAAAAGTCTAAAGCAAATTAGTGTTGGAAAAATATTTAACGTAAATTAAATTAAATCCCATATCCATAACATGACAAATTAAAGAGCATCCAAGGATGCAATTAATATTAAAACAATAATAAAAAGTACAAAAAATACTTTTCAAGAATTGTTATAACATAATAATGTCAATTTTATTACATTTTTACGCGATCGCAAGTGCCGAAACGAAGTCTAGTAAATGTTTGTTTGTATCTATTTATTAAATATAATAAATAAAATAATTTGCAAACACAGCGAGTCTAGCATCTATTCGGAAGCTAAATTAGATCTTATCGCATTGATATACCTAACAAGTATCTTTTTTTTATAGGATAAGGGTGACAAACAAGCACACAGTCCACCTGATGGTAAGTGGTTGCTGCGGCCCATAGACATCTACATCTATCCTCTGTTACAAATCAAAATGTAGATGCGTTGTCACCCGTGAGGACTAAGATGGAATGCCTCATTTCCAGTAAAAAGGGCCTCCGGCCACCTGCACTCACCAAGCGAAACGCAGAGGTAAACCTCTACTTCACGCTGGTTTTCTGTGAGGTCGTGGTACTACCCCGGTTCGAGCCGGCCCATCCGTGCGACAGCAAAAGCTGCCGCGTGGCTCTACCACTGTTAATCTTTCTATGAAGTCTCATTTTAACGGATTTGATCAATGGTAACATTATAGGAATTCGTCTCTTGTCCGATTGACATACGTCGTACGTTGTAATTACTGTTGAAATTTAACAAAAATATGTAATAATAAAGTATTTATTAGTACGTTTGTTGCAAATGTTTGAGTTTTAATATGTTGTTTCTTTAAACTAACGTATTTAATTTTGCTATATAAAATTATTTGTGTATATTTTTATTTAATAACGATAATCAAACCTTGTCACGTTAGTATTTATCCGTTGTTTTTCAAAAGAAGTAATGATGATGATGATCAATAATTCTATTTTGGTTTATTTGATTATACAGATTTTATACAGATTAAAGTTAAAATAGCATACAGATCATAGACTTAGTCTATGATACAGATTTAATACAGATTTTAGCAGTTCCTACTACAGATAAAAGGTTCGAGGCGTCTGGCAATACTTATAAGCAGTAATAGATGAAGTAATGGATAGCTCTATTATGTGTAAAGTAGTTTAACTGTCTGTTCCATTTTTCTATGACGGCTCCGTGACGCAGTGGCTTAGCAATTGAGTTGCAGCGCTAAGGGCCGTGGGGTCGAATCCCGCACGAAACACGTGTTTGTATGGCCTATAAATAAATGTTCTGGGTCTGGATGTCTGTTCTTGTGCAATTTATGTTTGTAAACTGCCCCCACAATACAGGAGAAAATACTAGTGTGGAGGTTACGTTACGAGGTTACGAAAAATATAACAAGAAAAGAAAAAAAAGGTAAAAAAGAAGTCCAGAGAAAAAACAAGAAACTTTTTTGGTAAACTGTCAAAAATGTTTTATATTATGTAGCCTGAAATAAATACACAAATTATTGTAAAAAAAAAATGTATTAAACCTTTATTACATACAATTTACATATATTTAATACTTAAAAAATAATTCTGAATTCCACAATCTGTATTTTACAGTCTACTTAAAATAAATTTACAAAGTATCAACCAATTGAATTTCGTACAAAATCCAAATAACTTAATTTAACTCAATCATAAATTCGTGTTGTGGGTGAAAAAATCTCCAACATTTTATCTTTTATTATGTCTTATCTGGTATATCTGTGAACTTCTTTTGTACCGATGTTTCTGTTCAGAATCTGCCCGATCTGCAACAAATACGTCAAATTAAATAAGAAGTTGCTTTGCGGAAATTCAGATATTTAATAAGTGTCAAAATTAATTAGCTAAGCCCGCGTACAAAAACAAAACTTTCGCCTAATTGTGAACTAGTGAACGAATCAAAATTTACATCATTTTTAATTTTACACAATTTTTTCCTTCACTGCTGCCCGGATGAGGAAGCTCAAGGTTACTCAGTGAGCTATGAAGAGGGCTATGTTCGGAGTTTCTCTGCGTGATAAACTTAGAAATGAGGACTTTCGCAGTAGAACCAGAGTGACCGACATAGCCCAATGGATTAGTAAGCTGAAGTGGCAATGGGCTGGCCATATAGCTGGAAGAACCGACAACCGATGGGGACAAAAGGTTCTCAAGTGGCGGCCTCGTACCGGTGGACGAAGTGTAGGGCGTTCCCCCACTAGATGGAGTGACGACCTGGTAAGACATGCAGGAAGTCGATGGATGCAGGTGGCTCAGGACCCTGTTTTGTGGCATTCCTTGGGAGAGGCCTATGTTCATCAGTGGACTTGTGAAGGGCTGTAATGATGATGATGATGATGTGAGCGGAACCGAGGGGCAATGGAATTATTCATGAGGACAATAGGTACAAGATAAACGTATGATATGAGTATTGCACAAGGCATTCTACATAACCTCACCTCAGATTAATGTATAAACTTAGTAGTTCTTGTACTGCTGAATTCCAGCATAAAGACCCAGTATACTTAAGGGCTGAGAGTTATTCCATCGTAGTCCTCGTTGATGACAACTGTAGCATTCTTTATTTTAAGTTGGTCGGTGGTGTCTATGAACTGCAATGGCCACTTACCAGCAGGTGGACCGTAAATCTGATTATCACAGTTTTATAAAAGAATGAGTGTGTCCTTTTCCTCCTCACAGCCCATATTTTTACTGACTATTCATTTTTTTTATATGATAAGGGTGACAAACGAGCACACAGTCCATTTGATGGTAAGTAGTTGCTGCGGCCCATAGACATCTACATACAAACAAAATGCAGATGCGTTCTCACGCGTGAGGACTAAGATGGATTGCCTCATTTCCAGTAAAAAGGGTCTCCGGTTCTCTACACTCACCATACGGAACACAGCAGCGTTAAGCTGTTATTTTACGCTGGTATTCTGTGAGAGCGTAGTCCTTCCCCATTCGAGCCGACCCATTCGTGCTACAATCATAATATAGCTGCAGCATAGCTCTACCACGTATAAACATTGTCATTGTTCATGACAGCGCATATGTAGCATTCTTTCTTTTGAGTTGGTTGCAATTGTTTAAGGACTGGAGTACACTTACCTGGTGGACTGTTAGCGTATTTGTCACTATAAGATTAGGAAGAAATAAAGGTATATGAATCAAATGCGTTTGCAAAGACACAAACACAATGCACTCACACATACAATAATCAATAAATTGTGTTCTACCCTTTAATTGACTCCAGTTGTAATTCAAGCGCCAAAGTTAAGTAAGCTTTTAAGTTATTTTAAAACATTTTTTTAACTATTATAAGCCAATTCTTAACTAATATCCCAGTAAACTTTATTTCAAAAAAGTAATAATTACCACCTTAAAGCCAGTGTGTGTGTGAACGATTTGCATTTTGATCCTTCATGAAGGAAAATGTAAGGTTCGAGGTGTCATCAAAAAGTAAGGTGACTTTTCAAATTTCGGGAGCTACGTCCGTTCGACTTACGATTTCTTTTTTTTTTATATTGATACACTTGTCTTGAACATCTATGATTAGTTTCAAATGTATAGCAGTTTTTATTTGTTTGTGGGAGGCATTAAGTTTAGAATTGTTTTGCGTGCCCGGCGATTTTCTACTGTCGACAAAACATGGATCAAAGAGTTTGCATTAAATTTTGTTTGAAAAAATGGAATCAAGAGCTCTAAAACTCTTGAAATGTTAACAGTGAAATACGGTGAGTCTACTTTAAATAAAAAAAAAAATTTTACAAGTGGTATAAACTCTTCCCAGAAGACACAAATGACGAACCTCGCCCTGGACGCCCCAGCACGTCATAAACTGATGAGAACATTGAAGAAGTGAAGAAAATTGTGTTGAGTCAAATTACCATAAGAAAAGTTGCTGATGATATCGACATTTCATTGGTCCGTGCCAAAAAATTTTAACGGACGTTTTGGTCATGAGACGTGTGTCGGCGAAGTTTGTTCCAAAATTGCTAAATTTTGACCAAAAGAGCCGTCGCATGAGCATCGCTGAAGAGCTGTTTTTTGGCCAAGAACAATACCATAATCATGCCACAGCCACCGTATTCACGGGATTTAGCCCCCTGTGACTTTTTCCTATTCCCGAAACTCAAGAAATCCATGAAAGGATGGCGTTTTGCAACCATTAAGCACATAAAGTGCTTATCAAAAGTGCTTTGAGGATTGGAAAAAGTGTTGGCACACGTGTATTGTCTGAGAGAGGTTACTTTAAAGGTGACAAAATAAATATTTATGAAAAAATAAATATTTTTTGATAAAAATAAAAAGTCACCTTGCTTTTTGATCACACCTCGTATATATGATTGCGCCACCATTAAGTAGACTGTATATTCATCCTTACATTATTTTAAAAAATATAACCATTATCAGCGCAATAACACTACAACGGAAACACAGACCCTCTTTTAGTTTCTGAACTCCTACATGTAAAATTATATTAATAAAAATTATACAACCATATCTCAGTACTTTTCAGTATGCAAGCAACGTCGTCTTCCACCTATCCTCAAAGAGGTAAGTGTCTGGACGGGGATTCAAGGCATTGAAAGTGGAGAGAGTACGAAAAATCGGAGGTTTTGCGACCATATAACAAACGGACACACTTAGTATTAACAATAGTATTGTGGCCAATTCAATGAAGAACTGAGAGACGTCTATCATTCCGCATGAGAACTTGCAATCATAATAATTTTCTAACTAGCCTCCAAAAATTAACACTTCAACATTTTCAAAAGTAACCCACCTGTTTTCATGAATCTGGGCAACGGCCACAGGCTGAACGGATACATATAGTAAACTGGCATTTTTTTCACGGCTATCGGTTTGTCCTTCACCACCCTGGACTCTGAAACAAATGAGTAACATTCTAACTAAAATACTTCTAAAATTTCACAAGGAGGATTACATGTCGAAGATATTAGAAACAGAAACTTTTTTATTCAATATAGATTATAAATAATACTTATTGAAAGTCACTCTTTTGTATAATTACCACTGGTTCGAAAAAAAACCTCTGTCCTGGGAAGAACCAGCAAGAAACCCAGCGGGACTTTTTTTTTAAATAACAGCTTACAATCATGTATGTTACACAAATTAACAACACAACAAGTTAGAAATAGCCTGGTAGCGATCACCTCATTTCCAGGGGTTATTATCATCTATAAATTCTTTAATATTATAATAACTCTTTTTATAAAAACTTAGTTTAATAAAGTTTTTGAACTTTTAGCAGGTCAAATTTTGTATATGTTTTTTTGTATATTAAATCTCGTAATTATATTAACTGTTATTTTTTACCACAGCCCAACCTGAATTATGTGTTGTTATATTATGAAGTGTTAGTAATGTACCGAAAAACAATTTTAAAAAAATGTGCAAACTAAATTATCAAAATTACTACTTTTAATCTCTAATTTTTAAAATTCATGATTTGTTTTCTTCTGATTTTACTCAGTGATACTTTTGAAGATACGCCGGGGACAACAATTTTGAAGTATTTGTTTTTGTGAACATTGAGTTATATGTACTACGCACTAGAGAAGCCATTCCGAACATTGACTATATTCAACTGAACTGTAGTGCAATCCATACAAACTAAATATTGCGTAAATTGAAGATTTGTGAATTCCATAAAGTAATTATTATTACATTTTATTTAGAAATATGTTTGTTTAGATTAAATTAATATATTTTATATTAAATTCTTATATTTATTTTATATTAATATCTTATTTTATATCAAATTGAAGTCTTCGCGACCTATCGACCACGACCTATCCTATAAAAAAAAAGAAAGCAATTGTTTTGAAGATTATAGTGTGGATGTTTAATGGAAGTAGTTGGAAGAACCATTTCAAAAATATATACCTAATATTTTAGATTGCAGGACTCTATTTCTGCTTAAATATTTAAACGCTTACCTATTTCTGCTGTCAAATAGCAATACTTGTATTGCTGTGTTCCGGCCTTTACTGTATAGAGAGCCAGTGTAATTGCAGGCTGTGAAGAATTCCATCTTAGAACCCTGAGGTGACAATCTGTATGTAGCATGCTTTGTTTGAAGTTGTTCATAAGCTTATAAGTGTACATAGATTGAAATAGTCACTTACTATCAGGTACCAGGATTGTAAGTTCGTTAGCCATTACAGTTTTATAAAAAAAATATGCTTAGTATTTTTCACAAACATTGAGTTATATGTACTACGTACTAGAGAAGCCATTCCAAACAAAAATTGTGTCCTACTCTATGTCTTCGCGCATGCGCGGGAGTAGTAGTCACGCATGCGCGAAGACTTTAATTTAATATAAAATAAGATATTAATATAAAATAAATATAAGAATTTAATATAAAATATCTTAATTTAATCTAAACAAACATATTTCTAAATAAAATGTAATAATAATTATCTTATGGAATTCACAAATCTTCAATTTACGCAATATTTAGTCTGTATGGACTGCACTACAGTTCAGTTGAACATAGTCAATGTTCGGAATGGCTTCTCTAGTACGTAGTACATATAACTCAATGTACATAACATAATGTTTAACAACCTTTACAAAACCATTAGTTCTGTGCCGTGTTCTGTGGCGACATAAGTGTATCCATCACCCTATTTCGTGAGAGGTTATGAAAATCATTGAAATAAAACTTTTTTTTTTAATTCTAACGATTGCCCTTTAAGTCCGCAAATGAAGGAAATATAATCAGCAAATAAAACTATATCGCGGCTATTCCTAGCAAGTTTAGTAAGCCATTAGTATAAACTAAGAACACGACGGGGCCAAGAATTGATCCCTGAGAAACACCCATAGATACTACCGGCCCGGTAGAACTACTCCCATTGATTTACTGTATGCATTTTATTATCTAAATATGATGTAATAAGTTTAAGACTATGTTCCAACACCATAATGATGCAGCTTTCTGATTAATATCTCATGGTGAACTGTTTTAGTGGAGCAATTTATTTACATAAAAAACTTAAGACTTTATCTAGAATAATTTTTCAAAAAAATTTTACTGGAGAAATGATAAGTACCGAGCTCTACAGGGCATTACAAAAATAATTTTTTTTCAGACTCTCAGAGATAGGCAACTAACTAGATAGACTTGGAAAGTAAAACATTATCTAAGATTACATCTTTGGTCCAACAAGTGAACACCTTAATGGAATATAGCAGACAAGCAAGAACCAAAATCGGTTGGAAGTTTTGACATCTTAATAATAACCATACTTATTATAATTTTAAGTGGTAGAGCCACGCTGCAGCGTGATATGACTACGGCACGAAAGTGTCAGCTATTGGAAAGTACCACGCCCGCACAAAATACCAGTGAGGAAAGAGCGGCATAATACTGCTGTGTTTCGTAAAGTGGTTTGCAGGAAACTTCTTTTCACTCAGTCATATGGGGTGAAAACCAAGAAAATTCATCTACATTTTTATTATTATTGAAAAACAGATGAAGGTAGACGGTGTGTTCATTTGTCACATTTAAAACTTTTAGAAAATGTGAAATATACAAATGAAAAGTCGATTTTAACGACTAAAATGGGGCTATGTTTTTTTTTTATAGGATAGGTTGACAAACGAGCACACAGTCCACCTGATGGTAAGTGGTTGCTGTGGCCCATAGACATCTACATCTATCCTCGTTTGAGAATCAAAATGCAGATGCGTTGTCACCCGTAAGGACTAAGATGGAATGCCTCTTTTCCAGTAAACAGGGTCTCCGGTTCTCTACACTTACCATACGAAACACAGCAGTATTAAGCTGCTATTTTAATTATATATTTTAATAGCAGCTTAATACTGCTGTGTTTCGTATAGTGAGTGTAGAGAACCGGAGACCCTTTTTACTGGAAACGAGGCATTCCATCTTAGTCCTCACGGGTGACAACGCATCTGCATTTTGATTCGTAATCGAAGATAAATGTAGCTGCCTATGGGCCACAGCAACCACTTACCATCAGGTGGACTGTGTGCTCGTTTGTTACCCTTATCCTATAAAAAAATGTGGGATAGATGGTCAATAAATTGCATAAGTTAAGTAATACCAGCGGAATAAAACGTGCTTGTGAAATTATACAATTTTTTATCCCTCAGTACAAAGTACGATTTTCCAACCAGGAAGGGACCACGGAAAACGACTCCCCACTAAACTAGGAAGATTTCGCAGAGATCAATGCCAAACTAATAATGAAAATAAATGAATCAAGTCACCCCAGCCGTGGTAGCTCAGATGGTTAGCACTCGCTGTAAGCTTCACAGTACTCGCGCAACCCGGGTTCGATCCCCGCCCGCACCAATGAAATTGTTAATTGCAATTTTAAGTGCTGATTTACCACGTGCTCGGCGGTGAAGAAAAACATCGTGAGGTAACCTGCATGTCTGAGAAATAAGAAAAAAAATATTTCGAAGACATGTGAAGTTCGCCAACACGCATTGGGGCAGCGCGGCGGACATTTCCTTGCCCTAAAGCGCTCTCAGAAATGAGAGGAGGCTTATGCCCAGCAGTGGGACGTAAATAGGCTGCAACTTGACTTTACTTTACTAAGTCATCCCATTCCGCTATGACTTAATAAATTCTAGGCGTGGACGTTGAATCAACGAACTAGTTAAACCAACTGTTGTTCTTCTGTCAACGTGTCGTCGTGTTACCGTCGTTATGAAAGGTTTATCAATGAAATAGAAGAATTCGTCCACAAAATTTCGAATTAACAATAAACCGAAATGTATTCACTGAACTCTTTCAACTCCTTGTTGCTTGATACGATACAAAACGATCTTTACCCAAGCAGCATGCAAGCTGTATACGAGCTGTATTGGAGTTCCTTTTTATACTACAGGTCGCATTTACTGGCTGTACAAAGGCTGTATAAGCGCTTGTACAGCTCTTATAAGTAAAAAATTGGCACAAATTATACAGCTTTATGCATTAGTAGTGCTGTACAGTAGCTGTACAAGCACAAAAGGGGCTGTATAATAGCTGAATTATAGCTGTTATTTGGTGTACAAGGAAACTATTATTACTATCTTATAAGTATCTTTTACAGATAAGCGTTCTAAATTGGTGTTTGAACGGTATCACAAATGAAATTATGACAAAAATAACTTAATAGGTTTACTTTATTGAATGATGGCGACATTTATAGTGAGTTAAAAATTATATTACATAGCTTTGACGGTGATAACTGGTGAATAGAAAGTGCAAAATTAGATTTACGGTAAACATGTATATGATTTCTATCAAAAAATTGCCACGCCAGTAAAATAACGAAATAGTATAAGGACAAAATACTAAATATGGTAAGTAAATATTGGTTTTATAGGTTAGAATAGGAAAATAATTAAATTAGTGAATATGAATGCATATTGAGGCAAGATGATCATTAGTCAAACTAAAAATAATGGTTTAGGCTAAAAGTAATGTCTCATATTCCTAAATTTACAATTTAAATTTTGATCCTAAAATGGCGACAACTTGCTAAACAGCCTAAAGGATATTTCGAGGGTCTTATAGTCTTAGTAGCTGTACTATGTATGTTATGGATTCTATTATACAGCCATTAGTTTCTAATCAGCTGTATAATAGAATATTTTGATTACTAACGCTGTATAGTAGTTTTTAAAACATCACAGGTAATTGTCTTTAGAGATATGTATAAAAGATGAAAAACCTTTATCTTAGGAACAACACTTTTATCCCTTCTTCACTTTATCTCATTTAAATAATAATATTTTAAGATTTAACCGTGTTTAAGTATTTTTTTTATTTTATTTTATGGACAAGGACAAAAAAGTGCTTACTTCTTTCACTTCTTTTAACACAGAGACTATATA